GGCACAGCATATAGTTGCTATAAGTAATGCTACTGTTGAAAACTGTAAGCATAATTAGCTTTTTTTGTGTTAGTTTGTTTCACAAATAAGAACAATTTTTGCCTAATTTGAAGGCAGAAAATATTAGACATACGAGAGACATTTAAATCGCGTAAATCCGGCTGTTTTTCTACATCTGGCACTAATGTAGTAAGTCTAATTTTTTCCATTCATAATATTAATAGAATATTAAGTAGACTTGATTGAGAGCTTTAAGAGGGTAGGTGAACAACACGATTTTTTGTTAAGCAAAAGTCAATTGGAAGCCTTTAATTTTGTTGTGTTGGGATCATATATCAGGCCGTGAACAAGCGGTAAGCAGCACAGCGAAGAATGAAATAAAATGGAATAGGCTTAAAGAAAGAGAGAGAGGGCGAGAGGGAGAAAGTAAAAAAGGGTCGATGACAAAGCATGCAAAAAAGGGCAAATCAGCACGCGACATTTTTGGCCGCTGTCGCTTTGGCTAATGAAGGCCGAGAACAAAAGGCGTGCGCGCGTAAAAGTCGGCGAAAGTGACGCCGAAGTGTTAAAGCGCGATAAAAAGATTAAAATTCACACACCCACACATACTCGTACACAAACGTGTAAATACAATCGCGGAAGCCCAAATGGAATGGCGATACTCTGACACAAGCAGTTCAGACCCCTGGCTAGGAGCAGTGGGGAACACGACGAGCTCAGCGTGCGACCCAAACTCCCAAGCCCAGGACTTTCCTCAGCAGCAGCAATTGGCAATACTCGCAGAAAATCGGATCAGATTAGATTTAATGCAGCTACGGCTAATTTTTGGGTGATTTTTCATAGAAACAGAAAAGTGCTGCTTCCTCCGCTGTGGCCCTCTTGGCGCCAGAGCCTGAGAGCTGTCAGCAACAATACGCTAGAAATGACAGCTAAACAAATGACACACACACACGGCCGGAGCGTTGAGGAGGGGGGGGGGGGGGGGGAGGCTAAGGTTGAGGGGAGAGCTGACAGACAAACGTTACAATCTCGCCCACAGATAAACTTGCACAGGAGCGGGCTCATATCATCATCAACATTTCCGCTTCCGGCTGTTTATGCCGAAAGTATGGCGGCGACGCCCTTTCAGTAACTTTCCTGCGTCTTGACTGGCATCTGTTTTCCATCGAAATGCCCTATAGAGCTTAAATTGGGCGCGGGCGTACAAATATATTCGGATATTTGTATACCATGTGCTGAAATACATTTAAGTATACACGTATAGTATAAGGACATATTGCCTTCCGCAGATGGTAATAATGAATGTTCAATATCGGCTGTTGGTGGAACATTTATTTCATTTTCTTGGAATATTTTATTTTATTTTTATTTTAGCATCATTGGTTGTAAAGCGATCCAATATACAACACAATATTTCGATTATGACAATCGAAAATGATTGACCACCCAGTCCAAAGGGGCAGTGTAAAGCCATTTTCATCGAAATAATGATAGATTAGAAGTAACAAGATAGAATGCTACAGTCGAGCCAACCCGGCAGTGAAATACCCTGAACCCAAACAAACTCCGAATTCGATGCTGCAGTGTGTGGGCGTAGTATTCAATTTCCTAATAACTTTTTTTTCACAACTAAACAATTTCTATTAAACTTAAAGTAAAAGTAAAAAATTAGTTATTTTTCACGATTTCAATCAAATTTAAAATAAAAATAGATAATTATTTATTTACGAATTGTGGCAAAAAAAAATTAAGAAATAAGGAGAGTCTACATAACAAGTTTGTTCAGTACAGAATCAGTCGTTCCCACATTAGTTCTTACTAAGAATATACAAATGAACTTTATGCGCTCGGAGTTGTTCCGCACAAACGTAATACATATACCCTTTCTTAAGCACCAACTCCCAACGGTTATAAAGTTCATTTGATGTTAATAATTTTAGTAACCAATTTTGTTTTTTGTTAAGACAAGGTTTATTCGTTATTAAATATTTTAGTTATTTCTAAAGGATTTTTTTCCATGTGTTTCATTTAATTGAATATTTTAAATTTTAAATTGAATTGTTTTAAATTTTTTTTACATCGACAGCTTTATTTGCTGATAAAATAAATAAATAATAAAAAAAGTTTATTTTTTCATGCTTCTTCATGCGAAGATGATTGCGACGTGTACGGCTTTCATTCTATTTAGTTCATAGTGTGAGCATGTATGGACCACATGTTATAGGGGCGTTGGCCCCCCTACAAAAATTGTTGCCATATAAAGTCGACCACACGTTCATTATTAAGAGGCACTATTTCGCCTTAAAATGGATCTGAGTTGGATTTGTTGAAGACTTTTCATTGATCATATGAATAAGTTACTTTCTAAATGCATCGTGCATTATTTAATCAAAATTTTAATTTGTTGCTATGATCCGATATGCCTGAAACTCACTTACTACTTAAGTGTGGGCATGTTTTCATTTTGTTCATTTGTTCGTTTTATTTTCTTTTTCTTCTCTGCGCACATAAATAGGTGGACATATATATTTATTCTAATTACGTCTTAAGCTCCGTCCCTGTGTCACGCTGAGTTTCCGGGCAAGCCGACAAGCTCCTTGGAATTGCGTTTCCCAAGCGACTTCGACTTCGCTTACAAAATTTGCCACATACGGCTCCACTTACATGGCGATGACAAGGCGTATAAATAATTATATACACGCGCAACTCCTTGTTTTTCTTGTTGTCGTTATGCATACTCGCATACTCGTAGACTTATTTTGATATTTAATTTTTATGTTTTTGTTATAAGCAACCCAAAAGGAAATCAGCCAAGCACCCACCCACGCTTCCCCCACCCACTTCACTTATGTACCTTGCATCGATTCGGCACTGCTTTATTTTATTTATATTTTTCTCTCCCGCCTTGACGTTGGCGTTTTATTATGCTTTCCGTTATTGCCTTTTAGTTACTTATTTATGTATGAGCTCACAGCTCGCATACAATTCGCTGAAAATGCTGCAAAGGGAGCAGGTCGCGGGCGGAGTGGGTCCTAGGTGTCCGAAATATTGCAGTTGGACTTCCAAGTCATAACTTCAATGTCGTGAAAACTAATTGAAAACTAAACATGTCACAGGCAATCACATCAGGCCCTAACTGAATCTAGTCTGAACACTCTCTGTATGACGTCACAAGGCACTTACTTGTCCCCCCTGGTTATGGGAATGTGCTCCAGCTTGTTTGTGATTGCCGAACGTATTTGGGGAAATACGGGAGAAAAAATGAGGAAATCTGCCTGACAAGAATAATTCACTATATACTTGTACAATACAGCAAGTATGTGTGTATACACACTCGAATACAGGTGTGCGATGGCAACCAGCTGGAACACTTTCCACCATCCTTCCCACTCTTCTCAGACCGGGGCACATAAAACAACTTTACATTTGAGCGAAATTGTAGCGCTGCGGGCGCCGAAACGGCCTCCTCCGCGCAACGGGAGTCCTCACATGTGGCAACCAAAGGCGCCGATGCACAGTTGGCCAAGTATCGTCAAAACTCCAAGCGTTTGGAAATTGGAAAACTGCCTATTAATTATATATGTATGTATGAATCAATTCATACCCCTTAATCGACTTATGAGAAAAAATACAAATGACTTGACATTTTAGAACGTTTAGGATTAGTCATCCACTGTTAGGGGATTAGGTTTTGTATAAATCAATAGAATGGTTTGAGCCCAGGATTATTATTTGCCTTAAAGAAAGATATTTAAAGAGGTATCCTGAATCGTGTACTTTAAGAAAAACTGATAAACTTTGAGACTTGGAAATATTTTACGTCAAATTTTTATGTTTTTTTTTTTAAGGCCATGTTCAGACCTATTGTTACGAAGGCCTTCTTATATTATTTATGTAGGGCAATATACTTAATAGAACAATACAAAATGTAAACAGCGTGATTATATAACGAATTTTCCGTGCGAACGTGAAATATTTTGTTTGGTTTAGTGACATACTTATGTTTCTCATTAAATAAAGTGAACAAATAAAATTTGTCCTCAATTTACTAATTTGAATTAAATTTGGAAAATGTTATTAGTGGTAAATATTACATAAATTAAAAGGAGAACTGTCTTTTGTTCTATCAAAGTTACTGGGCGACTTATTAATTCTCAATGTGTTGGAAGTTATTTGGAACATGAATACGCACGCCAGTTAAATATTTTGTAATAAAAAAAATAAAAGAATTTGTTTTCTTCAAATCTTTATTATTTAAGGACTGTTGGTCAGTACCTTTTTCTTCTTTCCTTATATGTTATTATATATTTCCATTCTCTATATATGTAGTATTAGCAGTTCAAAACAATATTCGAATTGTATAAGTGATGGCTGTAGAGTTATTCGGTGGCGATATTCGTCTTTCAACTTTATTAATTCCGATTCTAATGATCACTAATGTTCTGTAATTTTTGAGGCAGCCTAGTTTCTGCACACCTTTCCTGAACTCCCTCAATTTTTCTGATTTGTTGAATTCTCATAGAATCGTTAATTGTATGCTCTTCACGAACTTTAAGGCATTGCTATCATTCGTCACAATCACGATCTTCTCGCACAGCTGTGAACGAATGAATGCTTCACCTTGTTCACAAATCTTTTTATTTAATTTATTTATAGCTTCCCAAGTGTGAAACGCTCAGCCCACTGTGCAGGCAGTTTCAATGTGCGCTACTATTTTGCTATTCCTACCGTTTTACGCTGCTGTGGCGTTGCTTTTGCTTTTGATCCTAATGTGGTGCTGTCAGAGCCTGTCGACGTCAGCCGGACTCTGAGCGGCTATTTCTAGGATTAATGTCAATGTGAAAGGATTTCAGCACATTTCATTCGTCGTCTCACTGACACCCCGTCCAACCTCGGCACCCGGCATACATTTATGCGCGGCCAAACATGCTCTTACTAATACTAATACGACGAGCACACACACACAGACACACACACTTAGTACACTGTGCGAAGCTAAATTCAGAAGTAAACAGCAAATTTCAGGTTTTCATTTACAATAATAACAAGCTAATATAGCCACAAGGACAGTGCTGGTTGCCGGTGCTTCACCATGAAGAAGGAGGAACCCATAATGGATGGGCCGAAGCGCATGCAGAACGAGCTGAAGGAAATGATGGAAAACACGCAGCTGAAACAGTTTCGATGCCTCGAGGTGGAGCCGAACAATATTTACAAGTGGTACGGGCTGATTCTGCCCGAGAAGCCACCCTACGATAAGGGCGCATTCAGGCTGGAAATCGATTTTCCCGAACAGTATCCCTTCAAGCCCCCCACGCTGCACATCAATACGCGGATCTATCATCCCAATGTGAATGAGCGAGGTCAGGTGTGCCTGCCCATACTGGAGACCGAGCACTGGAAGCCCACATCCCGCATCGAGCACATACTGCAGGTGCTGATAGCCACCATCAATGATCCGCAGCCCCAGAACGCGTTTCGCGTCGATGTCGCCTCCGAGTATCAGAACGATCTGAAGAAGTTCAACAAGATCGCCGAGATCTGGGTGATGCGCTTCAGCGAGCATCGGCCCACTGAGGAGGAGCTGGCTAAGTTGGCTCGCAAAAAGAAGAAGAAGAAATAGGTGAATGCTATTAAAAATAATAGCATTTCTCTCAGTGTATTGCACGTATTTCATTTCGCCAACTGCGCGCCGCTATTGAAAGTTTTGTAATCATTATTTGGCCCGAAGCCGGGATTAGCTGGACCGGCAACATCAACCGTGCTGCTTGCATAATGCGCCAGCCACACGTTAAAGCCGAACATTAAAGACCGATGTCTGCTGCTGCCGCTGACATATCGCCGTCTAATTGGGAGGAGTGCAGTCCGGAGAGAAAAAACAAAATAGACAGAAGAAATGTTAACAAGCAAAGAGCACAGAAAGACGCCAAGCTGCCAAGCTGCCAAGCCGCCAAGCTGCCTATTTTCGTGCCCATCCCCACGACCGCCAGCCAGCTGTGAGATAAATCATTTGACTCAAAACGGCTCGCAGACGCCATGCAGAGCGCAGCCAGCTTGGTTCTGGATCCAGCCTGGGGGCGGCATCACCAGCAACATTAGCCATCGTCATCGTCATTGTCATTGTCAACGGCATCAGCGTCATCAGCATCCGCATCAGCGCCACGGGCCCCAGTTCTAGTTGTTCTCCACCCACATCCACATGAATCGGCTGTGGCGGGCATGTCTGTGCTGCCAAGCTATTTGTAACCAACAACAGTGTACATCTGGTTTTAATCAGTTTCTCCAGATAAAGCGCTAGAGCTGTGAGAGAGCCGCCTCTACTCCAGCCAGCAATCAGATATGCTAGATTATAAGACTGCTCTAAGGACGATTTCTAAAAGGTATCATACATCGCCTATTAATTGTGCCGTTCGCATCCCGAGTCTCTTGCAATCAATCAATTGCATTGAAAAAGCGAATTTTTGTTTTTAACAGCCAGCTATTTGTCTCCAGTTTAACCTACTATACGGATCAGATGTTAATACGAACTTGGCCTTGGGCTCCCAAAAACGACAATTATAATCAAAAACGTATTGAATCTATAATTAGGATCAAAATGGAGAAACAACTGGAGTTAGAAAATGCTCGTTTAAAAAAAAAAAGGATAAGCATAATATTTTTGTATAGAGTTTTGCTAGATTGTAGGGCCTCCATTATAAAATACTACAGTATGGACAATGGAAACTTTCTTTCGATTTTTTTGTTATAATATTTAACTCAACTATTTACCACCTCGAATAATTGCTTTGAGCTTATTTTAAAGCTTTTTTTAAATTATGCGTATATTTCAAGTATAAAAGCTTCTCTGAGAGTGTCTTTCCAATCGGAAGACCAAACAACCTCAGGATCATTGCAGTTCCATTAGTTTTTTTCTTGCAACTAATAGCCTACTTGTATGTTGTATGCATTTCTGTTTAAAAGATTTCTGAGCTCTTTCTATCCAAATGAGTTAGAGAGAACAGTGGGCAGAGTATGCCAAAGTCGTCCTCGTGCCACTATAGTTGTTCCTCTTATTTTTTACGATAGTTTTGTGCGCCCATTGAAAATCTGTTGGTCCCTTCATGGTGACGAGCCCACGCACACGACATATAAATTTCTGCAATGAATGAATCAACTTTACGGACACACACAGGAACTGGTTTATGGACTGAGTGTGTTTTTGTGTGTGTTTTATGAGCTCGGCGCCTGTGGCAGGCAGTTCACTTGATACGCTTTCTTGGCCAACTACAGCTTGTCAGCGGCATGTCCTGCGATGAGGATAAGCTGCCGCTATAATTACACCAAAGGCCGCACAGCACGTTAAAGATATTTGTACCAACATTGGTTTCTTTCGGGATTTATTGTGCCCGCCCTGCCAGCTCCGAGCCCAGAACTACTTGTACTGGCTTAGTTGTTTCGTCTCCACAGCAACAATTCGTACTCGTATGGCAAAGATGGATTACAGTCGTCCGCAAACTGTTCGGGGCGTGTCTGTCGATGTTTGGGGGCGCGCATGTGTCTTGTTAAAACTGCCTGCTGATTATTATCACCTTCATGCACAGACGGAGAGACACAGAGGCGTTCAGAGCAGATGGACCCCTGACCAAGCTCTGACAGCGCCAGTCATTGACATCGCACACCACCCCACTCCAGTCGACAAACCCACACCCCCTCCACACACCCACAGGCCCACTTCAACTCCACTCCAGCCTCGGGGCCTCTGTAGCCACAGTCACATTCTCTGCGTGCCACTGACAGGCGCGCCGCTCGCCGCTCGCCTCTTGCCTCTTGCCCCTTGTCTTTGTATAGTATGAGGCATTCAAAAGCCTGCAATGAATCTCAGTTTTTGATTAGCAGCCACTCGCTGTGCCCGCTTTTCATTTTGGTCCACTGCTAGTTTTCCACTCCTGGTCATTGGTTGCTGTGGCTACCGAAGCGCTATGCTTTTTTCCCCGCCGCTCCGCCTTTTCAGCTGTAATTCATTAGCGCCTAATTACAGTTGGTGGCTGCTTTAAATTAGTTCGCTGTACTGCCGAAAATTTGCTAGATTCTTGATTAGATTTCTGTGGGAATTGGAGTTATAGTACGCGCACTTAAATTTAAAATATGAATGCGCCTTTTGGTGGCATTGCTGGGCGATACTCGTATACCCATATATACATACATAATATATGTTTGTATGTACGAGTATGTATGTATGTACGAGTATGTATGTATGTATATGCCAGTGGCAAATGGTAATTATAGCGGCCTTGCCTAATTAGTTGGCCAAACTTTCAAGTCTGCTGCTATCAATGAGTTGCTTGCCAATTCAACTTCATTTTTCCAACAAAATCAAGAAGCTAACAATTAGCGTAACTTAATAAATAAAAGCTTGAAGATTTTTCCAATTAAATTAAAGTTTTCCAACTACTGAAAATATTATTTCCTTCGATAATTATAATTAGTAAAATTGCAATATCCCTAGTGATCGTTTTTGGAAAAACGCTTAGTGCTTAACATGAAGATAATGAAGATGCAACTAATTTTTGCCCACTGTATGAATTTAAAACAAACTGGATATATAGAATTATCATATAATTCATGAGTTAATAAATCAACAATAATAATTGAACTTGCATTCCATATCAAATGTCTCTAAAAACCAGAAATCAGAAGTTGTACTTGGTTTTGTCTTATAAAATATTATTTGTTTATTTGAGAAATAATTTCCTTACGAATCAATCAAAAAGCAATGAAGAATTCTCTCTAGATAGATAGTATATGGATGTGGAACTATAAAAAAAGAGGAATCTGTATGAAAAAGTACTTTATACTCGCAATTATAGGTCTGTAACAAGTAAAAAAGCTAAAGTCGGGTGTCCCGACTTTGAAATACTCTGTACATATGTTTACAATAATTATAGAAAATAAAAAAATTAAGGAAATAAAAAAAAAAACTTTGATCGATTTTACCTCTCTCGGTATTTGAACTCACGTAAAGGGTTTATAATTGCACATTTACATAGCAATTGCGTCTGTGTGAGTGTATGTATGCCTATGCGCATCTATTCGTGTCTGTGTAAGCATTTTCGCAGTCAACCAAACAGCAACATCAACAACAGCCGCGGGCAGCGCTTGAGCAGCGCTGCAGCAGCAAATATATTTATGGCTATAACTTCTTGGTAAATCGGTCTATCATAATGAAATTTGGCATACGGACACATAATTACAAACTGGGGGTATTTGCAAAATTTTAGTTCGAAATTCCAAGAATTACGGGAGTTAAGATTTGTGGGGTAGAGAGGGGAGGGAGGGAAATTCCAAAATATACATTTTCTGCGTATTCACATAAGGCATCTGGGACTAAAATTTGGTGTTCCTAGGTCTTATAGTCTCCGAGATATAGGCGATTATACGAATGGAAAATCGGGAAAACCCCCATAGGGGGGAAGTGGGGGGGAAAATCAAAAAAATAAAACAAACTCGTATAGAATACACACATAACGCATCTTTGTGCAAAATTTGGTGTCTCTAGCTCTTATAGTCTCTGAGATCCAGGTGTTCATACGGACGGACAGACGGACAGACTGACAGACGGACAGACGGACAGACAGACAGACAGGGCTAGATCGACTCGTCTCGTCATGCTGATCAAGAATATATATACTTTGTGGGGTCTGCCACGCCTCCTTCTGCCTGTTACATTTTTCAGCTCCCGCAAACCTAATATACTCTTGTACATTTCATGTACAGAGTATAAAAACTAAACTATTATAACACATGAAAATATTGGTACAAAATTACATATTGTGTGTCACAGCTTCTTTTTATGGAACTAGTTCGATTATAAAATAATTTCTTCTGCTTTTATATTTAAATTGAAAGCTCTTGTTGTGTACAACTGCTTAAGGCCGATTTTTATACTCTGTACATGAAATGTACAAGAGTATATTAGGTTTGCGGGAGCTGAAAAATGTAACAGGCAGAAGGAGGCGTGGCAGACCCCACAAAGTATATATATTCTTGATCAGCGTGACAAGACGAGTCGATCTAGCCCTGTCTGTCTGTCTGTCCGTCTGTCCGTCCGTATGAACACCTGGATCTCAGAGACTATAAGAGATAGAGACACCAAATTTTTCACAAAGATGCGTTATGTGTGTATTCTATACGAGTTTGTTTTATTTTTTTGGTTTTCCCCCCCACTTCCCCCCTATGGGGGTTTTCCCGATTTTCCATTCGTATAATCGCCTATATCTCGGAGACTATAAGACCTAGGAACACCAAATTTAAGTCCAAGATGCCTTGTGTAAATACGCAGAAAATGTATATTTTGGAATTCCCCTGCCTCCCCCCTCTCCCCCGCAAATGCGATTTTCTCTAACTCCCGTAATTCTTGGAATTTCGAACTAAAATTTTGCAAATACCCCTAGTTAGTAATTATGTGTCCGTATGCCAAGTTGCACTATGATAGACCGATTTACCAAGAAGTTATAGCCATAAATATATTTGCTGCTGCAGCGCTGCTCAAGCGCTGCCCGCGGCTGTTGTTGATGTTGCTGTTTGGTTGACTGCGAAAATGCTTACACACACACGAATTGAAGCGCATAGGCATACATACACTCACACAGACGCAATTGCTATGTAAATGTGCAATTATACACACTTTACGTGAGTTCGAATACCGAGAGAGGTAAAATCGATCCAATTTTTTTCTCTTTTTTTTTATTTTTTATTTTCTATAATTATTGTAAACATATGTACAGAGTATTTCAAAGTCGGGACACCCGACTTTAGCTTTTTTACTTGTTCATTGTTGAATATGTGAATACAAAGCTGAAGCTCAGTTTCAGCATTCTACCTATCGGTTTTTAAAATACAATGTTTTTTCCACAGTAAACAGGACTTAAAAAAAACAGAACAAATGGTTTTTTCGACAAAATCAGTTTATTGTATTCAAAATAGTCAAAATAGTTTGAAGCAGAAGGACTTCAATACAGCTTTTTGCACGATCCAAAAGCATGTCGAACGAGTGTTTTAGCTCGTTGGCCGGTATGGCCGCCAGTATGCCGGTGGAAGCCTTTGGAATGGCCTCTACGTCTGCATAACGCTTTCCTTTCATGGGCAAATGCATTTTTCCGAAAAGGTAGAAGTCGCACGGTGCCATATCAGGTGAATACGGCGAGTGGTTAATGGTTAAAATGTGAATTTTGGTCAAATAATCGGTCACAAGCGTCGATCGTCTGAGCAATTATTGGTCATCAGTCAATTTGTGCGGAACAAACCGTGCACACACCTTTCATAAGCCCAAATGTTCGGTCAAAATGCGATAAGTCAATGTTTTGGAGATGTTCAATTCCATTTCCATCAATTCCAATGATGATTTCGGCTGATTTTCGATGAATTCACGCACAGTTTCGATGGAATTTTCGGTGATCACGAATTTTGATCGGCCCACATGTTGATCGTCATTTATGTCCTCACGACCACTTTGAAAACGTTGAAACCGCTCGTGCACTCTGCTACGGGATAGGCAATCATCGCCATAAGCTTTTTCCATCAATTGAAACGTTTCGGTAAAAGTTTTACCAATTTTAAAACAAAATTTAATGTTGGCTCTTTGTTCCAAGCATCAGTCGACATATAGATAGCGCCACCAGGGGCAAAAAGTCCTGTTTACTTTGGAACAATCCTTGTAGATTGTTTGCAGAAAAAAATTAAATTCTCTATATAATAAGCTATGACCCACTGTATATGGTCTCATTAGAATTCTGATCCCC